AGGTACGTAATGCAGACTACACCTTCAAATAGAGCTACGCTGTTGGTGGGAACGTGGTAGCGAAAAAAACAATGAACGCATTTCATTCAAGAAATTTATTCTTTTTTACATTATCAACACATTTGATAAAATCAAAATTAACTTGTTACTCCCATCGACGCAACATCACAGTTTATTTAGAAACTTACCCTTTGATTCTGGAGTAGTTTCAAATTTTGTTGGAAAAAGTGCTGTATTTCTTACCGCGCCCTTTTTGATATTTNGTGCGGGTGACGGGGGAGGGGTGCGGGTGACTAGGGAGGGGTGCAGGTGACGGGGAGGAAAGGGCGCTGATTAAGGCAGAAAAGGGGAGAGAGAAGGCGAGTGTGCGCATTAGTAAACCCCTAATTTGCAGTTTTGCGCGATAAAGGAAAGGATATGAGAGGGAGCAGGGTACGGAAAGGGGATTATTCTCTATTCTAAATCCCCTTCCCTCCGTTTTCCCCACCGTCTATTATTAGGGAGCTTTAGCAACGACGACGTCGACGGCAACGAAAACGTCGTGTCGAAATCTAACTTTTCGTTTTTGTAACTTTTTCGAGGTTATTCTGATGTGTTTCACTTGGAAAATGCTGGCGAACTATTCAGGGACTATATCAATACGAACGGCGTTAAAGTAGGGAGAAAGAAAGTAAAATTAACCGTCATGCGCTCACATTCTCGAGAAAACCTAAAGTTTGGTTATTTCACGTTGTTGTTTTGCCGAGAACGGCAAAGAAATATACCAAAATGTTAAACGCACGTGCAGGGCGATTGTTTTTGCTCATTAAGCCTATTGTTTTCTGCCGTTCTCGTTGCCGTCGCCGTCGTCGTTGCTAAAGCTCCCTATTATACATGCTAAAGAGCGTAAACTAAAACCAAATGTATCAAGTCAAGGTTTGTGACCATATGCGAGATATTTGACGATCCTAACAGCAGTTCTCGTCAGATAAAATAGGAATGAACAAAAAGGTGAACACTATGATCTAGTTAAAATTGTACCGAGCTTGGCATTATGTCAAAGCTAATTAAAGAACAGTCGTTCCATCATTTTGACTTTGATTTCATCAAGTGAATTGTATGCAGGCACCTTCTCAAGGAGAGTACACACCAATATGATACGAAAAATGACGCCAATACTAGAAGAATATGACTTCAACTCATGATGCGAAATTCCAACTGAACTTGATAAAGAAAATGTGAGATTAACACATAAGTCTCATTCAGATTTTGGGATACAATGTTACTATCAATAATGATGTACTAAAATCGATCCCATGAATGGCTTCAAGAGAAGCTAAGACAACAAAAAAGTTACTTGCTCTTATTTGAATGCGAATGTTTCTCTTTCTTTTTTCCCGGCGAGAAAAGGCCACCAAACTTGCGCGACGAATGCTTGCTTTTGCTTTCATTAGTTGATTGTCCATCGCTAATCTTCTCGTCGCCATGTTTTCCCTCTACCTTCTTCTTTTTCTTTTTTGTATTCTCCTTCGTCTCGCCGCGATTCTCGTTCCGATCAAACTCCGCCTGAGTCCTCTGACTTTCACATTCGGATGAGAAGGAATTCTCCTTAGCACCTTTGTCCACTTTATGTTTTCGCTTACTTCCGAACATTTTTGAAAACCCACGAGCCACGAACGATTTGCTTTTCTTCACTTTCGCTGTCCGTCCAGCAGAAGGATTTAATAGTTGGTTATCAGATTCTCCATCTTCCATCACAGGACTCAGCGGGCGGAGATTAAGGTCAGCCTCACTCAATCTCCGTCGTTTGTCAGATCCTTCACGGGAGAGTCCTTCTCTTTTGCTTCCATTTGGTTCGTTCAAAGGTTCGGGTGTTTCATCGACCCCTACATTTAGACTATTGTCCTGTCCGACAGAAACAGATAGGAAAACGCCTCGATGGTGTTTGTCCTTAAACCCAGTTTGTCTGTTCCCCTCTTTCTCTCCACTTCTTTCACATCTTTCATCGTTTCGTTTTTCCTCACTTCTGCTGCTCGAACCCAGATCTCCGTTTTGGGGAAGATTGAGAACCTTTAGGCTATTATCACGTAATTGCTTACCGCTTTCAGATTGACGGGCAATGAAAGTTTTCCCGCCATTTTCAGAAGGTGTTTTGTTTCGCACTGGTTGAATTATTTCTCCTGCGAAATCTCGCCCGGCTTTTCCCTTTTCATTCTCTTGGGGAATGTTTGAACTATTCAATGTAGGTTCTTTTTCATCCTTCGACTGATCAAGCGTTATGAGAATTGGAGATAAATGCGCCGGTGTTTGAAGTTTTCTTGCTGAATCGTCTGCTTTAGAAGCTGATGTTGTGCTTACCACGGCGGCGGATTTCGACTGAAGCACTTGAGCGCTTTTTTCATTCGTTTCCGTCTCCAATGGAGACACACCAGAAACACGACCGTCATTCTTAATATTTTGTTTAGCACGATTTTCCTGTTGCTCAGGAGTCTCTGAATTTGACACAGTACCGTTCAATCTTCTATCGTCATGGTTTTTCATAGAAGACAAAACCTTTTGTTTCGGTGCAGCTAAACTGTACCCTTCTCTTACAGTGACAAGCTCAGGTTTTGTATCATTCAGAACTTTTGCAGGAGTTACGTCAGACGAAACATCTTCATAAACTCCATTCAAGGCTGGCAGTTCGCCACTTTTGTGGCAGGCAGTTTTGTCAGCATTTCTACTCTCGAGAGACTGTCCAAAAGATTTAATCCTCTTTGATTCTTTATTTAATTCCTCTTCGATTTGAGTGGCAGACACGTCCTCACTAGATTTTCTTTTTTTCATTTCGGATACGTCCCTGTTTTCACGTGCGTTAGATGTACTAACCTTGGTAACATCTGCTGGGTCTCCTTTCAATGTTTCGACTTCGACCCCAGCCTCTGATATCTTTGTCTCACTGACAGGGTTAAAAAATCTACGATTTAATATCTCTTCTTTGGTTTCGAGCTGGTCTTTTTTCAGTACAGATTTGTCCGCCGCATCAACGATTTCACTCAGCACTCCTTTTGTTTTGACTTGCTTTTTATCATCTTCGGGTTCTTCCGGAATAACGAACACGTGTTCACCTGTGGTGAATAAAAACATATCACGTTATAAACGGAGTAATAAAATACGACCTTAGGGTCACTAAATAAGATAAACACTCAGACAAGACCACCTACGTATACGTATACTATCCAAACAGCTTGTATTAATACTATGTATCCAGATCTCTAAGGGCAGCTTTCTACGCCGCGCATTGGAAACTAATCACGTGGTCAATAGCCTCGTTTCCATGCGAGCGAAAGATCAAACGGGTGCCCGAAGTTACTTATTCAAATTAGTAAACAAAGCAATCGAACACAATATGTTCATCACAACTTCTTGAGAGTCTGAAATAACAATTGTGCTTTTAAAACCAATATTTAGGGTTGAGAAAAGTTTATTGGAGCTTGCAATGACAATTTCAAGTAATCACGTAGTTCAATTTGGACAACATGAAAGTATCTCTTTTTCCAGAGGCAGTCTGACTGATTTAATTTCAACAATAGCTCATCAGCAATGAATGAAAGAAAATAATATCACGTTATGGTTTACTGATGTTGACGTAGAGTAACCACTAACAGTCTGTTTGACTTAAAACGTGCGAATAGGTAGTTTGCACATTACGTCATTGCCGCCATGTTAGTGGACGTAAACAATAGACATCTCATTAGCTTCTTTTGTTCGTCCACCAGCATTTGTTCCTTTCACCTTTGTTAACTGTGTCTCTAGAGATTGGTTGCAAACCACCTATAACAGCCTAAATCTTAAATTTCGAATATAATAAGAAATTTTGAATTTGTAAAGTTGTCATAATTTAGAATAACAAACAACCTTTCTGTATAATCAATGATGAACTCGCTAGAGGGCAAACAACAACAATTCAATTAAAGCCTAACAAGTGTGCCGTGAGGAGTCATTTGGAACACTTAATAAAATTGTCTTTTCACAAAACGTTTTCTAAATCAACCTCACAGAATATTACGAACATCTATTACAGAAAGTGTAAAACGCACCTTTGGTTTAAAACTATGCAAAATCGAACACTTGACACATTTCAAAAAATGCCAAACACTTGAAAATGGCTGCAGGAAAAATTCCTGGAATGTTCGTGTTTTACTCACTAGTTATTCAAAGAATGTATGTTTTTATCAGTATTAAATAGTCTTGAATCCGAAAAGGGAAAAAAGCTTTTGGTCCTCTTACACTGAAAATGCAGAAACACTTTTCCGGCTTCTGAGGTCTCTTATAGGGAAAATCTTTTTCCAACTAAGTAAGTCATTGACATTCTCTAAAACACAACCTTACGCTCTGATGGTTTACAAAATTACCACAATCTGCATTTTTGGATTCTGTGGTCGATCTTGTATAAGTTAAATTCTATCATAATCATGACTTTTGTGTTGGATTACTCCCTGGAGAGATCATTTATAGAATTACTGAAATAAAGCTATACTTAGTAATGTCTGGAGCTACTAACGAGGCTAAAGCTCATTTTAGGGAGTGTTCATTTATTGTGGGAAGGTTGGCTGATCATAGAAAGGATCGTCCAAAAATCTTCTAAAAGTTTACGTGCGGAGTGAAAACCAAGCACTTTTCATTACAGGAAATATAATGCCCAAACTGTCTTAGAAAACGGTGAAACGATAGAAAACATCAACAACTGGAAAAAGTAGCATGAGAGGTATTTTGTAGTTGTTCGGCAAACATCTCTGTCCTGATGTTTGTAAAAATATGGTGAACCTAGAGTCCAGGTGCTCGATAATACTTGAGGATTGTAAAAGACTCAAGGCCTCTCTGAAAGAAGGAAGTTCTCTTGCTACAGAACTACGTTCAAGATATGTGGCAACATCGTCTTCAGCAAAACACTTGTCCCTCGCGTGAAAATGAAATAGGACAGCAGAGCCAAAGTGCAAGCCAACGACGAAGTAAAAGTGGAAGCGGTGCATAACATTGCAGTGTTCCAGTTTCCCTTCGCCGTATGCTAGAATACCCAACTTAAAGTTTTATCCATTTTCAGCCGCCCTCCCTTTCAACAATGAACACTTCCCTGACAATCTATCAACTGATACGCATGAATCTTCAGCGCTTTATTTGAAATAAGACGCATCTTTCAACCGACACATACCAACTTTAAAAAAAAAAAGGGTTGGCGCATTAGAAAATTTACAATAAATAACTGAACGTATCAAAGGTATTTATCAAAGAAAATACCACCCCCACGTTTTAGCTTTAGCATTGAATCCCACAGCAGACTTCTATTTGTTTTGCTCTGTTTTTGATACCTTGTCAAACTAAACACCAGATATTTATGAAATAAAGGCACAGCTGTAGCTGAAATCTGATTTTGTTTTCGATCTTTAAATGTCTTTGTCCCGAGCGCAAAATATTTATTTAGTAAAAAACGTCTTAGAAAAATATATTCTCAGTGAAAATTTTACGAAAATTTTCTTTGTGTTTTTTATACCTCTAAGACAAAGATATATGTACTGTGAATATCATTTGGATTTTTTCAACTACGAAAAATAATTTTAGGGTTGTTTTTATTTTTTTCATTTTTCTCTATTTTGTTTTTTTGTATGTTTTATCAAAGTAGAGTGCTCGCGGTTCTTATGATATTTCATCCTGTTCTCTAATATCGCACATTAAGCGAATGCAATAATTTTATCGCTGGCACAGGTTTTTAAAGGTTTCTTGCCACTTTAAAATTTCATCAGAGAATTGTTTTGATTTTTGGATGGCAAACCGTTTACGGACGATGTTCAAATATCCACGAAGAAAATTTCAGCGAATTTGAAAGTCGAACTAAATTGCTGAGAATGCTGCGTTTTGAAGTGCCACAAAATTCACAAGATTTCGAAACAACAAGGCTAACATACTCATTTTTGAATCGGCAAGAGCAACAAGGGAAAATCAAAGGACAGGCTAAGGCAGTACGTGCCTCTGGAAAAACAGTCTGAGACCTTAAGATGACTTAAAGTGCACCTGACTCCTAAATTTTGTTCACTTAAAAAAATATTCCTGCTTTGGTGATTATTTCTTCGAAAAAATTGTTGGATTTGGTTAAACCCTCATTTTTTTATGCCCTGTTGAAGTCGAGATCCGAATGGACCACGACCGCGTAAATAGGGGATCTGGGCAGAGTAGACTTGTGACGTCACTTCGAGAAGACGCTCAAGGAATTCTCAGCCAGTCGTCGACNGGTCGTGAGTCAAAATGGCGGTAATTTTAATGCGATTTTCCGTACCTCAACGGGCACAAAAATTCAAGGATTTGACCAAATCCAAAAATTTTTTCGAAGAGATACTCACCAAAGCTTGAAGATCGTTAGTAAACCAAAAAAAAATTTAGGGGTTAGGTGCACTTTAAGTGAGATCGTAACAATGCAACTAAAGAGCTGATTGGACCTCTATCTTTCCCTTATTTTCTCTTGGTATTAAGGATCTATCTGATTGGAAGGTAAGGCCCTTCAAGATTTCTCTTGGGCAGAATCTCAACCTGTTCTTCTTCAGTCGGTTCTTCTTCAGTCGGTTCTAATTCAGCTCGGGCCTTGGCTGGGCCCGAGATCTTTCGAAATCCAACTTTACCTCCTTCTTCGCGGCTCCGTTTAGGCCTCGTGGGCGATGCTGATTTGCCGCCCCCGGAGGATATCCCCCTGGAAAGCTTCCGCAGGGGAAAGCCTTTCCTGATGTCACTCAGCAATCGGTCCACAATACACCCTTCTTGTTCCTCGTCTAACGGCCGCGGTTTGGTCTTTACTTTGCCTCCTGCTTGGGCGTTTCTAGCCGCTTCTTCAGCTTTCTTTTTCTCACGTGCCTTGCGTTTCTCTTCTTGGATGCGAAATTGTTTGTTTTCCTAAAACGAGAGCAAAGGATAAAAAGGTGAGTACAGTCCTGGATCAGGAGTGAATAAATTTACACTTCTTGCAAAAAATAGATATACGAAACAGTAAACATTTAAAAATGAAATAAACAATGTTTAATATAAGAGAAAAATCGAGTTTCCAGACGGAAATACCTTTTTAGCTTTGTCAAGCTGATCACAAAAGGTCTTGAACAAAGACAATAACTCCTGCAGTTTTAACTTTCCCTCGTCCTCGCAAAAATACATCGCCAGTTGTTTGGTGAGGCTGTGGATTTCGACGATGCCTTCCTCAAGCTGCTTCGCCTTCTCTAAAGCGCTCTAATAATGATACAAAATTTGGTCATTGCAGAGTAAAGAATCATACTCTGTTTATAAAAACAAAAAAAGTTTTATCAAAACAAACAACAACAACGCCAATTACAAAACTGAACAAGAAAAAAACGGCGATCATCTGCACAAGACAGCGATTTATTGTCTCTCCCTTTTTCTTTTAATAAGTTTGACTATTTAAAGCAATCGGCGCCAGGACAGGCGTCAGCGACTCTCCTAAAAGAAGTTTGAGCAATTGTCAACCGAGTGTCGAAAGAAATCTGGGATATATTCGTTGTGCCTCACTGCACTGACTTCTGATAGGTCAGGTAAACTTGAAACACTCTCGCGACCAATCAGATGCAAAGCTGAAACCATGTGCGACTTGGTTACACACATTTTCCCGCGTTTTCCTTCCACTTCGATGGCTCCTTGACATATTTTCCTTGTTCCAATTGCCCGTGTTAACTACATTACTTTGTTTCAGCAACACTCAAAAATCTTTTTATAATGTCAAGAAAAAAAGTGAGGCAGTGAACCAAGGAGCAAAAATAAAACTTACCTGAATGAATTCAGAAAATTGAGTGGAGATCTCTTTCGGTCCATTTTTCATATCTTTCTCTAGGCTTTTGAGTTTGTTTTTGAGACCTGCCACTTCTCCAGTGAGGTTGTCCACTGATAACCTAAGATGGAACAATTGAGGCAATTACTCCCAATTTTTTTTTATTACTTTAAATTCACAGTTTTAAACACTGCGTTCAAAACTGACGACTTTAAATCAACCTTGTTCATGTCGGACTCTATCAATTCCAGTCATTTTCACATAAATAAGGGTAAGCTCACTTACTTAACAGCTTTGTCAAGATGTTTCATGTCTTCAGGAAACTTCAATACTTTCTCGCGTTTCTCATCAGCAACCTTAAATGCAAAACACACTTTTGTGAGACAATTTTCTCATGTTCATCATACATTTCACGATTGTTCTTAATGTCTCAGCTAAAAACCCCTAGGAGTCAAGAAGCCAACCGCTCTACACATTTACCACGTTTGATTTTCCGCTTGTTCGCTCTTCTGAGCCTGCCATTTGTCATTTGTTCCAGCTTTTCCACCACGCTTAGAGCTTGCAGCATCTTTCCGAAGACTACTAGGTACTAATTTCCTGCGCTAAGCAGTAGTCGTGTGTTTCCACACTTAGCAAATGTGGCAGATTTCCCGCGCTAGGCGCCGGTTTTGTTTATTCCCGCGCTTGGCGCCAGTAATGCGCCGGTGTTTCTTTTTCGCGCGCTTTTCTGGAATTGTGCTTGGCTTTGCCACCAGCCGTAACTAGTTTGTACTTAAAATCGCCATAAAAAAAAATAAATTGGCTCAAGCAATCTCAAAAAAGTGGGAACTTACATGTACTAAGAAGTTCATAAGGGTCATACGAGGTTTGTTTGCTCTCGTGTCCACAATCTTCAGGAGAGAGTTGATCTTAAAAGCCACAGCATTCCCGGCGTACCCTCCCTACAACACAGAACATAGAAGACATGCCCGTTGGTTACAAGGTTTAGGTTGCAGAGGACGCAAAATTTTTAAGTTTGGCAAAAAAGAACAAACAGCTCTTACCGAGTTCAGAAAATTGCCAATGATCAAAATCAGCTGAAGAACTTCTGGTAGAATTTCACTGTTGAGGATATCTGAATATATTCGAGGTCAATTAGTGCTTCGTCTTGAAAAAATGAAATACAAACTACAAAACTCTAATTAAAACCAACAGAGTTTTGGAGTCAAACGTGTTGTTTTTTCTAATTTCAACCCTCTTCCACGTTTTGTAGTGATTTGTTGTTCTCTTTTAAACACGGGGTTGTATGCTCTGTCAATATAAACAATGACTGCCTGCTGGGTAACCTGTGGTCAAAGTCTGCGTTGTGTATCTAAAGCGAATTCTCCTCCACTGCAATATAAGAAATGTTTGAAAATAGTAATGAGACTTTTTCTACTTGTTCTAGATTTTAAGAAGTCATAAAGACTACGCCCACCTTGTATTGCTCCTTTCAAAGACTCTATACTCGGTTCAATTGTTTCAACTGTAATCTGGAACTCCTCTTTTTGTAACATGGCTTCAAGACGAAGGTTGTACCTAAAAACAAAAAGAAATAAACGAATAAATAATCAGATGACTACGATAATTATATATCTTTTATTTATTCACTCAACTCAGTTACAAAGATACTAGTCGGAGAAATTAAAACAACAAAAAATTTACAATAAAAAACGAAGTAACCATACCCAGGAATAGAGACCAGAGCCAACAGAAATTTCTCAGCCGATCCCAGCTGAGTTTTATCGCCAGAGAATCCTTTCAGCATTTCTTTCTAAAAAGGAACAAAACACAAACAGATTTCAGTTTAAACATTCATCCTTAAGGTTCAAATTTACGCTCTAAGACTATTGTCTCACCACCTCGGCTTTTATCTGAATAATCTGCGTATACTCTCAGGAGAAGTTAAGTTTGACTATAACTTAGAGTAGTCACACCTCTGGATTTTTTGCTCTTGGATACTGACCTCTGTGTTATCTGGTAGGAGTTTGATGAACGATTTCAGGACATCGACATCGAAAGCTTTACTGTTCCCGTTTTGAATCAATCCAACAATCTCTTCATTTGACCTTAAGGAAACAGGGAACGTATTCATGTGAAAAATGTATCCTTCTTCCCGAACCCCCGCCTCTGCTACCGTTACATTGGCAAACAAGACAGTCGCTACTCCGCTTTGAGAACTCCTGGTTACGAAAACTCACCATA